CGTCAAAAAAGCATAGTATGATACATCAAATGTAATATAGAGACCAAGCTTTAACCTAAACTAATGCTGTGCGTCCATATATTATTCTTAAAAATTAATTCTTTTTGTATATCGATATGTAACTCGATGACTTAAAGGGGTAGATCAATGGATAACCCAGATTTCAAAAAAAAAACAAAAATCAAGGCCATGCAAATTTAATTAATTAGTTTCCATAACTCGGCCGGTCAAAATTTGAAAACTTGTAACAAAATTTTTTAGATGTTTTAATAACCGGGTGGGTTTTAAAAAAAATTTTATATAATTTTTTATATAATTTTTATATATAAAATTTGGTTGAAAAAAAAAAGCCGGCCGGCCGGGTCTGTTTAAAGTTTCATGTTATGAAAACCAAAATATTAAATTTGTGTGGCCTAACGTTAAAATTTTAATACATGTTTTCGAATTCCATATCCTGCCTATTTCCAGCAGTGAGCGTGTGATCTTAAATACATATTTTAGTAAATGATAGTTAGTTCTTTTTCAATGATTCGCAAATAAACAATTATTATATTTAATAAAAAAAAAAAAAATTACCATGCCCACCAATCAGCGCGCCACATTCCACACAACTAAAATATCAGTAATACGAATTAGTAAAAAGACTTAGTACAAATACCGTCTAACCTCGATATAATTGGATTAGTAACCAAAAATTGTAGGTATTATTCTATTGTGTCTTACAATAACAAATGTAGTTTTGATCGAGGTTAGAACTGTAATATTTGTTAGATAAAATTACCGGCCAAATTCCATGGCACCTCCGCACGCATCGATTGTATAAGTATGACCATTTGGACATTGATACCAATGCTAAGGTTTAATTTTGCCAAGAAAATTTCAAATTAATTTTGATAATAATGTAAAAGTACAAAAATATAAAAAAAAAGATATATTACTCCTGATCCTTGAAATTCACTATTCATTACTTTAGATATTTGCAGCTTTTCTTCACGTGTCAAGGGCATGTCCCTCATGACCGCAGTCCGAATGTCAAGAAGTTCTCGGCGAATTTCATCAATTCTTGACTTACATTGTTCTTCAAAATATTCAGCGTTCATTGTGGAAAGCATATTACAAATGTCTTCGCACATATTTTCAATTTCGGCACATCTATTTTTGACAGACTTCTGAATAATAGGATTTATGCCATTAGGAGGATATTTGAGCTTAAACCGTTCAGCTTTACAATCAATTTCCGCCAACTCCAGCGATGACAAAACAACATGACGACGATAATTATTTTGTTGGGCTGTTGTAATTATAATATCAAGGTGTTTTTTAATTGCTTCAATTATACGTTCACCAAATTCAATCCAATTTTTGTCATAAAAAACAAGGTTATCTTCCGTTTCTCTTGTTTTTGACAACTCAGTAATAACCTGGGAAACTTCATAAAAAATGACTTTTTGAATATTAACAATCTCAAAAAACGCGTCAAGATACATGCGGACATCTATTTTTGGAGCAATTAATCCAACTTCTGCCAAAGTTTCTTTAAGTTTAAGCTGTTGACAAGCAGGTGAGTCATAATCTAAATTCAATGATTCAAAATTTTTGCCGAGATCACATATATTTGTTTGGGTTTTTGACGCATACCTATAATAATTTAAAAAAAAATGTATATACATGTTGAATATTTTCCTTAAATTTAAGAAATAAAGATTATTAACTTACAAAAGAGACACAGCAGCCTCATACGCGAGTTTATATGGTGGAGATTTTGTTTCAAACATTGATAGTGTCAAATTTCTATATATTTTAAGAAGTTCTGATATATGTCGCGTCCATTCTTTTTCATGTATCATTGGAATAGAATAATATTTTTCAAGCAATGAATATTGCTCTGTTGATACAACTTCAGGAATTTTTTGTAATGTTGAATCTGCAATTTTTGCAATTCTCGTCTCCTTTTTTACTTGAGGTTTCAACGGTTTTTGAATTTCTTCTAAAAATTTCTTTCGATTAGTTTCTATTTTACTTGTAACATTTGTTATGTCTTCGTTTAGTTGCTTCAAATAGTTATCATATTTCATCAAAAATTTTTTGTTCTGAACATCCAAAACATGTTTATTCGTTGATCTTCTATAACGATAAATATTCTTAATAGGAGCACGGCATTGTGGACATTTTTTAGATTCACTTGGTTGTGATGTAATTGATTTGATTCGGACCCAATTGTTGTTTTTATCCATTTCGTAATATTCCTTCATGTACATCACATGATCAAGACTTTCTGCTGTATATACATGTCCACAATCTAAGACGACCATTCTCTCAAAAGTCCAATCCACTTCTGCAAATGTTTCTTGCATAATCAAATCAACAACTAATATTGATGATCGAAATTAAATTAATGAGGTTACGTCTCATCTCCTCTAAAACTATTTCTCCTACATGTCAATTACTCGATATCACCCGGGGTGACAATTTACTAATGGTATATCGACAATTAATAAAATGCTAAATTGTCACTCTGTGATGGCGCGAGTAAATGACTTGTCGGGGAGATAGTTCTCGAGGAAATAAGCGTATACCATTAATGAATAATTTTTTAATTAATAGCAATAATCTTGGTCTTAAATAAATACCTTGATTCTTGACATTATCATCTGTAGTGCAATCTGCACAATATTTTGGTGGTGGACATATTTCGCCTATAAATCGCAATTGAAAAAAAATTAACAATGCACATTAGTTTAAAATACATTGTAAATACCAGTATCATGAAAACTGATCCATTATAATTGATTATAGAACTTACCACAAAGGCCAAAACATTGATGTCTACAGTCTAGCAATTTTTCGCACCGCAAATTGCACGGAAGTCGGCTGCAAGGTACGCCACATGGCAAGTTGCAAGTACCCTCATGTTTGCATCGCCATCCACATGCTATAAAAATTCAATTATTACATATATATTAAAATATATTTTACCGAATTTTGATTGTTATTTACCTTCCGCACAAACTGAGCAAGGTTCCGCACAGGGTAGTTTGCATTTCGAATGCATACAAGAAACATTACAAAAACTTTCACAAGGTTTACATGTCCGACCCTCATGACAATTTTCTTTACAAATGTGACCTTACATTGGCAAATAATAAACTGTTATAAAATTATAATATTAAAGAATGCAGAATAAATAGAAGAAATCATACCACAAAATAAGTTCCTATTTTTGTGTGTAGTATAAATAAATTATCGTTATGTTAGTTTACGGGTCTAATATGGAATCCCGACATCCAAAATCTCAACAGGAAATATTGACATCACGAAATGTGACAATTAAAAATTTAATGATCGTTAATGTGGTTACTAATCTTTAAATATTAATTGTCACGTCGCGTGATGTCAGTATTATACCTGTCGAGATTTTGGATGTCAGGATTTCCTACTAGCGCTAGACCTGTTAGTTTACAAATAAGGATACATTTGACAAATTCGATTTCAACAAATACCTTTCACATTTCTGTGTGCATTTTTTGTGATTCGATCTAACAATATGTCCCATGTGATCTAAAAGTGGATTTTGGTTTGCTCTCTCAGATAATTTCTGACAATCGAGACATGTAGACATGCAGGGATGCTCGCATGGAAGAAGCTTCCCGCATTTTTCTGTACAGTTAAAATCGCCGACTGATACATAACACTAAATAACAAAAATGAAAATCAGTAAAACAAAACTTAATAAATGGTCAATATAAAGGACCATTTTTTTTACCTCCATTAAATGTTCATGTTCGCATTTAGGCAATTTCCTTAACACCTTTTCCTTGCAAAGGATTTTATTTATATTTTTCCTCTCGTGACACTATTCGAATTGAAAATAATGTAAAATAATTTTTCTAATTTTTGAAACTTTATTATACTGTATATTCACAAACCTTGGCGTTTTTATATTCGTGTCCACATGGCAATGTAATGTTTCCAATTGGCCAAAGACAATTACCGCAATTTTCTCCACAAATTTTATTACTGCAAGGATGTTGACAATCTGGAAATAACCTTGTACAAGGTTTTTGGCAAACAACTCCAATGTGTTGAGGATCATCTGGATGACACTTATATGGGCCTATAATGATAATTGCAAGCAATTCAATAATGATAATACTGTAATATTAATATCGATATATACATATATGAAATAACAAAATCTTACGCCAACCTACATGTGTGTCCGCATTTTAGCTGTTGACCGCCTATGAAAATTTCATTATTATTTAGCATCTAACGCTAACAATTGTATAATAAGTGTATTGTAACGTTATAAAAAAAAACTTACAGGGCTCGAAACAGCCACCATCAGGAGAAACTTCAATGAATTGTTTGGCCTCATATATGGTGTTCTTATAATCTGGATGTTGAGCACATACAATTGGGAATCCTGGCCCGACTTGGCCACGATTACGTAAAATCTCTAAAACTTTTTTCCAGAAATTTGAATGCCTTGCCATAATTTCTGCATTACCCAAAAGAAACATGCCATGTTTAGCACGAGATAAAAGAACATTAGAACGATTTGTTGACTTCAAGAAGCCAATATTTCCGCGATCACTCTCATTTTTCGTGTTACGAACGAGTGATATAATCACTATATCTGCTTCTTCTCCTTGAAAGTTGTCAACTGTACGAAGAACAACCTATTTAATTATAAAAAAAAAAATTAGAAATTTTATGAGATCAAGACGAATTACATTTAATACCAATTTTTAACAATTACCTGTTGTGACAATTTTTTTCTAGAAGCGGTAGCTCCAATAGTAGAATGCACTGGCCCTCCATCTGGGTTCTTGTTTTCATCATCTATGCTTTCCTCCATATCAGTAATTAATTGATCATCACGTTCGTCAATTACCACAACAAATGACTTCGATAATACATCTCTTATTTTAATAAGCTGCCCGAGGTATGGTGTCAATACCGCAATTTGACCTGGTTTATCGTAACCATTGCGAACAAAATACTAAATATAATAACAAAACATAAATGTTTTGCATAAATAAGATTAATACATATTATTCAACAATGGGTACGTATCATTTTATAGATCATT